TAAGTTGGGCGGGGTGGGTGGCTGGCTAGGACGGGGGGGGGAGAGAATCATGGCTGCTCAGGTGGCTGCTGCCACCAGTGGCTTGGCTTTGAAGCACTCCATAGGCACTGAAACTCTTTTATCCAAATGGAGACCTGACAGACTGCAAGCTCCATATGCCTGGAATGGGGCGCTTGATAAACAGAGCCTTCTGCTCTGTTTTTAAGCATGCATTGGCAGCCATGCGGAACTTACAGTGTCTCTCAGGTCTCCATTTGGATAAAAAGTGTTTCAACGCCTACGGAGCGCTTCAAAACGCAGTGAATTCCTGCGTTTTGACACACTCCATAGGCACTGAAACACTTTTTATCCAAATGGAGACCTGATAGAGATTGCAAGCTTCGTATGCCTGGAATGGGGCATTGAGAACAACACATTGAGTGTGGTTGGTCAGCCAGTTACTAATCCATTTGGTGGTGATGCTGTCTAACCCACATTTTTCTATCTTATTAAATAGTAGGTGTAGTCTACTTTATCAAATGCATTACTGAAATCCAAGTAAATTATATTCACAGCATTCCTTTAGTCCACTAATTTTGTCACCTTGCCAAAGAAGGCAAGAAGATTTGTCTGGCATGATCTCTTTTTGACAAATCCATATTGGCTTTTGGTTATGACTTTGTTTGCCTCTAGGTGTTCACGGATTTGTTGATTATCTTTTCCAGAATCTTCCCAGGTATTAAGGTCAGGCTGCTAGGTCTGTAGTTCCCTGGATCCATTTTTCCCCCTTTTTTGAAGATGGAAACTACATCAGCTCTTTTCCAGTCTTCTGGTAGTTCCCGAGTGCTCCAGGATCTTTGAAAGATATGGTTCAGTGGTTCTGAGATCACTTCTGTCAGTTCCTTCAGAACCTTGGGGTGTAATCCATCTGGTCCTGGTGACTTGAACTCGTCTAGGGCGGACAAGTGCTTACTTATAATTTTCTTTCCTATTTTAACGTGTTTCTAACACGTGGGTGGGGCTCTAAAGGGATTAGGAAATGGCTGGGCATAGCCCTTCCTGCACTGGCAATTCACTAAATTGGATGAACAGAGATCTGGGCTCAAGATTCCCTTTGTTAAGTTTCTCTTTGACTGTAGTTGCTGTATGATGCTGTGAAAAAATATAGTTGCTTTAAAGAGGTGCAAACATGCACTATATTCATGCATTCCAAAGCACCAATCAGAAGTGCTCGTAGCTTACTATGATACTTCCTTTACTTGTACAATGAAGAGCAAATTTCCACTCTCTAATTGATTTTTTAAAATTCATACAGTAGCCAGGCTTTGACAGTATCACTGACTAAGGAGGAATGAAAACACCCCAACTGCATTCCAAAATCATTTAGAACCGTCTGGCACAGACGGTTTAACTGATGCAGTGCATCTACAGACATGCAATTGATCCATTTAAGGCTAACTATGGCAAGTGCATAAAACAGAACAAAAGATCTACAGCAGTGGTTCTCAACCTTTTTAATGCCGCGACCCCCAACCGGTCATAAGTCGAGGACTACTCAACCGGTCGTAAGTCGAGGACTACTCAACTGGTGCTGCACCGTTTGCAGAATGGGACTTTTGGCGGGCTCAGCAGGGCAGAGACAGCCTGGACAATTCCTATTGGCTTTTGAAAGCCAATAGAATTAGACTCTATTCAAGAGAGTCTATTCTATTGGCTTTCAAAAGCCAATAGAATAAAAGGGAGTAGCACAGCTAAGGAAAAGGGGGAAAAAATGGCGGACTGCGTTGTTTGGCAACCCCCGTGAAATGGTCGTTTGACCCCAAATGGGGTCCCGACCCACAGGTTGAGAACCGCTGATCTGCAGTATTTATTACTGCATGTCTAAAGCCAGATATTAATTAGGACAAAGCTATGTAATTTGAGCAGAGGTCTGAGGGAGATGAGTGGTTTAGAAATATGAAATGTAAAATCTAAGCATTCAACAAGCATGTCCTGGTAATATTTTTTTCAACTGGGTCTCCATATTGACTTCATCTCATCCCAACCGAGGATTTAATAGAAACTTCATGCAAAACAAAATTTTGGAAATTTTCACTTTCATTAAACAAATAGCTAGTTTGCAAACATGATTTACAACTGAACGAAGCATTCCATTCTTTCCTTTTTCTATTGACTATTTTGAGTTAAGAGAAGTTGCTTGATATTTGAAACTGCAGGGCAAGCTATATATGTAACTGGATATTTAGGCCCCCAATAATGTTGATTGGTGTGTGTGTGGGGGGGGAAGGAAGCTACCTTGACTGTATTTCTATGCTCTTAACTATTTGCTAGAGTTAAGGAAGGACTATGTTAATAGTGACTGTTCGTCTGTGAGCAGGCTGGCATCTTTCTCCTTCTGTCCTAGCCATTTTTTACAGAGGCATGATTGAGAGCATTTTAACAAACTGCATCACTGTTTGGTTTGGTGGCAGCAGTGTCTCAGATAGAAGGTCCACACAGAGAGTGGCAAGGACAGTGAAGACTATAGGAAGCTCGCTTTCTGTTATTCAGAACACTGTTTATAAGCGCTTTGTGCTTAAAGCTTGAAGCATTGTTAGGGACCCCACACACCCACTTTACGGTTTATTTCTGTTGCTCCCCTCTGGGAAGAGGTTTCAAAGTATTTCCAGGACTATCAGATTCTGTAACAGCTTTGTTCCCTATGCCATCCATCTGGTAAACTTGCAAAATGTGTTTTTCTTGCCATGTACATGCATGTATTCAAACTAGGCTGTGTTGTTTCTCTGTGTCATAGAATACATGTGGGTATATGGCAGTGTTTCTCAACCTTGACAATTTTAAGGCATGTGGACTTCAACTCCCAGAATTCCACAGCCAGCATTTTCTGGCTGTGGAATTCTGGGAGTTGAAGTCCACATGCCTTAAAATTGTCAAGGTTGAGAAACACTGGTATATGGGTATATGCAATTTTTTGTCATATTTATGTAGTGTTATTGGAGATGGCGACCCGCTGAGAGCTATATGCAATGAAATTTCATTTTAATTTTTGGCAATTAGTGTACATTTAAAGTGACAGTAAAATTATTCTATGTCAACCTGATAACCCGATTACAGTTGCTAATCTTAAAGTCCTAACTCCATTCTCCCACCAAATCACTGCTTCAGTCATTTTTAGATCACCACAAAGCGGATTAACTCCCAATGCTCCCCTATTTCTAGTTCAGTTAGGTGGGTAGCTGGGGCTCTTCCTATGCGAGATCCATCGGCCTGCTCAAACCTTATGGGTAGAGGTAGCAATTTCACTCTAATGTGCAGTTTTAGTACGATAGGGAGGTTGATCAAACATCGAGTGCATCCTAAATTGACTAAAATGTTCAAGTCCAACTGAGCCCGATTTTGTCACCAGTATTTTGGCAGGAAAAAGCAAAAGGTGGGACAGACTGACTCATCATTGGGTCGTCTTCCCCCCCCACCCATCATCGCTGTCATATGGGTCTGGTGCAGGCAGGCGTTTAGCTGGCTTCTTTTGCTTCGATATCCATGTTTGTAGCTAAGTGGAGTTGATTAGGATTGCCCCTGCAGATGCATGTCTAGAATAGGTTGCGATCCAACCCTGCTTTGAAGTAGTGGATCAATGACTGCTTGGGCTTTCGAAACTCTCTTATGTATTCTCTTGCTGGCTGACCTCTCTGCTTCACATTGTGGAGGTCTTTCTTCGCCTGTACCATTTGGGATTCATCCTCAAGTCGGCCCTCAATCCATGTGTGAACAGATCAAAGTTCCATAACTCGGGTGCCTGCGCCTCTCATAGGCCAGACTTCCACTTCACAGCCTCCCCCTCCAGATTGGCAGCTACAGCATCAATCATCTCGGCTTCATCCAAATACGCCCGTTCATAACGATTAATGTGAGACCACACCTGGGTCAGGAAGATAGTCACCTTTTCGGGGTCTCCATTGAAAGTGGGCAAGAGGTGGGTCGGCTGGGCGGTGATCCCAAAGAGCCTGCAGTAAGCCAGGGAACTGTGATTGGGGCTGCTGCAACCCCCCCCCCCATCAGAAAACCCCTGGTGGAGGTCTTGGGCTGGCAGGACGCCGACAGCAGTCAGGGCTGGCATGATGTCGATAGGGGTCAAGTTCCACTGGGCGCTGGTGGTGATCTGGGCTGGCAGGATGCCAACGGTGATCGGGGTTAACATAGTGCCGATAGCACCCATTAGCTTGCAGGGCTAATGGGATACCTGTGTCGCTCGGAGCTGGCAGAATGCCTGTAATATTCAGGACTAACCTGTCGTTGGGATCGATCCGGGCTGACCTGGCACTGGTAGCAGTTAGGGCTCCGCCAGTGCACCAGACTCAATGTCAGGTCAGGCTTCGGTAGTGGAGAGGCGCCCACTAGATCACAAGAGGACTAGGACTCTGTCGGGGTGGCGGAGGTTCATGAGATCACTTGTCCTCCTGCCCACCTGAAAACACTTGGCAGATGGCTTGTCTTCCTTTGCCCATCTCCAGCTGATCAAACTTCTCCCTCAGGCGTTCCACTGAGTAGCTGTGAATGGCCATCAGATAGTTCCACTCACCGGGTTTGTCCCAGGCTGCTTACCACTTTGTTTTCATCACTACTGGCGAAAGGAGAGCAGGCAATGAAATCAGTGGGAATTCAACCTCTGCAGCCTTTAGCGTGCTCTTGAGAGGCAGGGCAGCGTTGGACTGCCAGGTCGTCCCAAGGATGATTGCTTCCTCCTTCTGAGTCAGCTTCTCCACTGGGACTTCAGAGGTTTGGTCTCGCTCTCCACGAAAGCAGAAGCCTGCATCTCATCTGCTGCAGCTGCTCCAAGGCTCGAAATTTATTCTCCTTTCTTTTCCATCTCTGCGTCTTCCCTGAGTCTTTGTCATCCTCCCAAGGGTTGGGTAGGTGACCGGGGCTCAGGACCCCATGGATAAATGAATTTTGGAGTCTTGGTTTAATGTCATGGTTCCGATTGATGAGACCAGTAGAAGTAAGAACTCTGAGGCAATTGCTTTCTTCAAAGAACACTTTTAATGGCTACATAATATCAGCACGAACAAAGGTAAAACCAAGACTGAAAGTCCCCCCCCCCAAAAAAAAGGTTACAAAGTAAAAGTTGAACTTCCCACCTCTTAGTGTGTCATACATCACAATCCTCAATTAACACCTTTGGCGGGATTCCTAACGGTAGCTCCAGCCCCAGCCCGCAAACACTTAGGCTGCTTGACCTTGGTTCCCACAAGAAAGTTACTGTTTTGATCTAGAAGAATGCATTTCCTCCTTTCCATTGCTGTGGCAACCGAAAAACGAAAAAACATGGCTGTATTCAGAATGTTTGAAGGTTTGACATTTTTTCTACCACTCCTCCAACAGCTTTTCTCCTGCCTCCCCCAACATTTCTCACATACCTTCCCCAAGGTCAGTCCTAAATTCCTTTACAGTAAGTTAACAATCCACAGGAGACCATAAATGAATATAAGCTGTCACAGATATACTTGTTGGCTGTGTAGTCAAGTGGCAATAAGGAATGTGATCAGATCAGCACTTATTATTCAGCACTTATTGATCTCCTATCTCTTCCAGGTCCATTCTGTTTGTGGAGCTGGAAAATTTGGCTGGAGCATTATACACTGTATCTTGCAGATCAGCTCTGGGAAATGGTGGGTAAAAGCATGAGAATTCAGTTATTTCAAAAGTAGTACCTTTTGAAAAATGAAACTCTATTTTATCATCACACTGGTTGAGACCCTTGATTTTGAAAGATGGCTTAACCAATATGGGTGAAGAGCTCTTTCAAAACTCTGCACATCTGCAAAGCCATTGATCAACAGGCTACTACAGATGGTGAGTTTTGCCAGATGGCTAAACCAACGAGTGTGGCTATCTGTTAGAAACATTTATCAACCATTTACAAATCTATCAGCACTGATTTACAACCATGTAGTTAGCCGCAGATTCGGGAATTGACATGCAAATCAGATTAGCAATGTAAGTGGAGAATATAATTAATGACAATAACAGCAAAGCTAATTCTTTTTGAAAGGCCAGTATACTTAATGCTATGTACACAGCAACAGTGGATAAGAAAAGTACAATGACACAAGTCCAATTCTCTAAATTTTGGTTTGTTTGACTAAAATGTGAAATATTATTTTATTACAAAAAATGAAATATTGAACAGGCCTGCAGTATTCCATAAGAGCAGTATGTACGCATATAAGTCAGCCTTAGGAGCAGTATAAAATGTCAATTATATGAAATTAAGTATTGTATTTTTCCAACCTTCTCTTGATCTCCTCTATAAGATTCTCTTGAGGAATATTAACCTAAAAAGCAGATAGTAGAGACTTGATTAGTGCAACTCATCAAAATAAAGTATTTTTACTGAGGAAAATTGAATTGTAAACATGATCTCAGTGGTGTTCAAACAGCTCTAGGGAAGATTATTTCAGAACAGTTTCAAACTGACTCTATTAAACACCAATACCAACCTCTTTCCTAGTCACAACATCCCGAAGTTTCACTACTCCATCATTTAGCTCTTGTTCTCCAACAATGATTGCCAGTGGGATTCCCGTTTCTTCACAATATTGCAGTTGTTCCAGTAGTCTGGGATTTTTTTTATATAACATCTCTGCCTGAAAAATGTTGGTAAGAAATGGAAAGATAAATACTGACAACATCAGTAAGATATAGTAAAAAATGATTGGCTCAGAAATTTTTTAAAGACATTTAATAAAAAACGAACATAAAGAGACATTTTTCATTAAACTGAAGGCTACTGTATATATAGCAATAGCACTTAGACATATACTGCTCTATATTGCTTTACAGCACTCTCGGAGCAGTTTACAATATAAGCATATTGCTCCCAACAATCTGGATCCTCATTTTACTGACTTTGGAAGGACGGAAGGCTGATTCAACCTCGAGCTGGTCAGGATTGAACTCGTAGTGTGTGGGTAGAGTTAGCCTGCAATACTGCATTCTAACCACTGTACCATCATGGCTTTTATAATCATCTTACAAGTCTGTGTAAGTATTTACCCCTTTCAGATCTTACAAATATTTGCAAAACTTTGCCATTATATATTAAAGCTTTGTCTGAATACTATATACTATTTACGTAATTATAATAATATATAGTCTGTGTGAATAAATAACAGCAATGTTTCTTTTATTCCATAAATTCAATAGGTGATCTGGCAATGTGGAAAAAGTATCATCTCCCTAGTTCAATCAATACAATTAAAGAAATAACTGGTATCACTTTTGTGAGTACTTCATTAGACATTCAAAGCTGATTTGGACCAGTGCTACCCTATAAACATCTTATAGATTTAACTCCTCTCAGTACTGTAGGCTTTTTGTCACACAAATAAGGCATGCCATGTCCTGCTCTAAAGAAATTTCTGAAGATCTCCACACAAAATAAAGATAATTGATGCTTATCAATCTGGTGAAGGTTATTAAACTAGTGTGAGACATAGTCTTGAAATGGAGAAGATATGAACAATAATGAACCTCCCCAAAGAAAAGGACTAGATAAAAATAGGATTCAAATGGAATAAGAAAACAATATCCATTGTCCAAATGATTCAAAATGCAGATTGTGCAGAGACAAAAGAAACATTAGATCATATATTTGTGGAAGAAGATTGTACAAACTGATTATAATGACATAACACAATTGTGAACATGATTCATTGGAACATCATGTGCCAATAATAAAAAAATGATGAAAACACAGAGTTAAAAGAGGGAAATGAGCAAGTTAAAATATTGTGGAATTTCCAAATATGAACTGATAAAATCTTGGCTCATAACATAGCGTATTTAACTGAGGTTGAAAAGAAGAAAGTATGGGTAATTGGTATGGTAATATCAAGAGCTAGTAGAATAGAAGACAAAGAATTAAAGAAGATAACAAAGCATTAAAATCTGAAAATTGAAAGATTATGGCCATGATGGTCTTAGTAGTTATCCTTGCACTGGGTGTCATGTTGAAAAATCTTGGACAACACTTAGAAAATATGCACATTGATAAAATTTCTATCAGTCAATTACAAAAGACCATACTGCATGGATATGCATATGTATTAACAATATATTATGACATCTTAGGTTCTTGGGAAGAACTCAATGTGTACAAAGCCCAACACTAGCTAAAAAACTGCCAGCTAGGATTTCACATAATTTTTGTGTATATAATCATAGTACTAGGTGCCCTGGATGCAATTCTAAAATATCTGAAGCACCACTTGAAAACCATTGGTATTTATAAAATCACCCTCAGCCAATTGCAACTTACAGCCTATGACAATACCTTAACATCACATAACAACTTATGCCTAGCCTAGGACCTTGGAAGGTCTTCAGAGGTGGACAAAAATGCCAAATCCAGTCTAATTGTCTGGCTGTGTGACCAACTATTATATAATCAATTTATATGAGTGCAGTGGTTAGAATGCAATAGTGCAGGCTAACTCTGCCGACTGTCAGCAGTTCAATCCTGACTGTCTCAGGATAGAACAACAGCAATGGCAGAAAAAACAAATCTGCTTCCAGGGTCCCAAAATATGGCATTGATTAATCAATGGAACCTGAAGTGCACTAATCCTGCTAAATTGAGCTGAGCAGATACTATGGGACACAGGAAATCTCTCAAGTAACCTATGCCATGTACATTCACTGGCAAAGATATGCAAGCATTCAAAAAATCTGAAAGGGAGTGAATAATTTTTCACAGAAATATATTACACTGGCGTAAAAACTCTTTAGTATTACCTTGATGCCAGCATTCCATAATTCAGATATGAACTTCATTCTGAATGCAAGGAAATTTTTCTGGGGAGTTGCCACCAATACTTGTGTCTCTGTCGTGCGGATCTTCTCCTTGGCCATCTCAAAGGAAAAAAAAAATCAGTATTATAACCAGAACTAATTAAAATTTGCAAACAAATTGGACGTAATTACCGTTGGAAATATTCTAAATTTCAGACATTTTCACTTACTTCTAAAATATGGATATGGTTATCTATATGTACTGCATCTTGCACCATAATCCTACTTATATCTCAGTAAATATGCATTATTTTCATGCAACCATTTCCCCTACTGTTTCTAAACCAGTTTTGTCTTGCTGGTTTCTATTATTCTCCCTTTTAATTATTATAAATAGCTTGTTTATAGAAACATTGCCTTATTTCTCTTATATAAAGTAGTTGATTCTTTTATTGATGGATGGAGAATTTATCTTTCCTGTGTGGAACAATGGAAAATTAAAACTAAAGATGACCTTGACAGAAATATGAAAGATTCAATATCCAGGCAAGAAGGGCTGAAATGTTCTTTAAGTCCTGGGAAGCAAGATAATTTTTGCAAGTGACTCAAGGAAACATCTCCCTTATACTCGTCAAGTATAAGGTAGAAGGAAACTAAAGCACAGACTCACAAGAGTCTGTTATTATAGCCTACCCCAATAAAGTATAATTAGATCTAGTCTTCTGTGAAACTGATTTTATAATAATAATAATACTAATAATACTAATACTAATAATAATGATAAAGTTGGAAGGGACCTTGGAGGTCATCTAGTCCAACCCCCTGCTCAGGCAGGAAACCCTATACCATTTTGGACAAATGGCTGTCCAGTTTCTTCTTAAAAACTTCCACCGCTTCTGGAGGCAGGTTGTTCCACTGGTTAATTGTTCTCACTGTCAGGAAGTTTCTCCTTAGTTCTAGGTTGCTTCTCTCTTTGGTTAGTTTCCACCCGTTGCTTCTTGTCCTGCCTTCAGGACCTTTTGGTATGGTCTACCTCAGTGTTCTCCAAACTTGCCACATTGGACATTTTGCAAATATTTGAGGGGCCAGAGGAAAAAAATAAATTTTATTGATTTTATATATTTTATAAAAAAATAATTGAATTAATTTTATTTTGCTCAATGCAACAGCAAAAGCAAAAAAAGAAATGTGTTAACTACAGAAACAATGCTGTTATTATACAAAAAAATGATATAAGAAAAACCTCAAACATTAGCAAACACTCCGAAGAAATAATAAATTAATAACTGCAGATGAGAAAAGGCTATTCTTTTTTTCAATGTTATTTACTTAAAAAGTTTACAAATTTACATTAAATGAGAATCTGCACATAAAACAAAAACAGAAAAGCTATGCTGGGATCATTCTTTCCCCCTTTGTAAGCAAAAAAAGCAACCCTCCAGCCGACTGGAATGGGACAACTCTCAGCAACCAGGTGAGTGTGACTGGGTGTGGGCATGGCTGGGTGGTAGCAGCTGGGTTGCCGTGACTAGGTGGGTGCGGCTGGATCAGCATGCAACATGTTGCATCAGCTAACTCGATGTGGGGACAACTCAGTGCCTCTCCCGGTCTCCCCAAACTGCTGGCAGCCAAGCGCGCACGCACACACTCCCCATGCCAAGCTTGGAGACTTTTATCCACATCTGAGCTGGCAAGCTGCCAATCCTGCCTGGGTTTGTGGAGAAAGACCTCTCCTTCCTCTGTAGATACAAGTTCCCAACTTGGAATGCGGTGTGTGTGCGCACGCACCTGTTTGGCTGCTGGGAGTTTGGGGAGGCAAGGAGCTTGTGGAGCACCAAGTTGTCCCCATGTCGAGTTAATCGGTGCAACTTGTTCCGTGCTGACCCAGCCGTCCCGAGTCAGTGGAGCTGAGCTGATTGTACCTACCCGGCCACGCCCTATCCAGCCACATCCACCTGCCTGTACCAAGTCAGCTGCGCCGAGTGAGTGGCGTCGAGCTGGCCGCACTGAGCTGGCGATACCCACCCAGTCACGGCACTTGGCTGTGACTACTCAGCTGCGCCCACCTGGCCACTGTGAGTAGCCATAGACCCCCAGCCGGCTTTCTCTTCCTTGTCTGGCTGCCCTGAGCCAGTTTGAATGGGGCTTTCTTTGTGCACAGGCAAGGGAATGATCCAAGGGAGTCCCTTGAATCCACACACACACACACACACATACCAGAAAGGAAGCAACTCTCCAGCTGGTTGAAAGCTGGGGCAAAGTTTAAAAGAAAAGATGTTTTCCCTTCCTTGTCCTGCAACCCTCCAGCTGACTTGCACCCCCCCTCCACATCGGTCCTACTTTCCTTTCCAACAGTGGTGCTTTCCTTCCCTGTGCTGTTTGGAAAGGATCAGAGCACAACACGTGGGAGCTGGTGGGCTGGAAGAAACCTTCCAGAGGGCTAGGTGTAGCTCAGGGGCCATAGTTTGGAGATCTAGTGGGGCTGACATTAATTCATTTACTCTGAATTATTTAGAGGGGCAGATGAATCGCATCCTGGTTAATAAAGGAAGATGCTTTTAAAAATATTTGCCAGAATAATGTTTTTTAATTAAAAAATAAAATAAAATTGTTCTTTAAATGAATGATGATCTATCTCATCCTATTTTTTGGTATATCTCCCTTTCTTGCTTTGTTCTTATTTACTCTGCCTAATGCCCAATTGCCTAGCCAGTCTCTATACCACCTACTGCTTCTCTGCCCAGTACTATGACACCATCCTGCTTCCCTAACGGATCTTTCATATTAAGGATTATTGCTCCTTTTTAATTGCAAAATTTAAACCCAAACAGCTTGTAAATTAATCTGGATGCAATGTAAATGTCTGTAATGTCAGAATAACACTTCCCTTTAGCTAACTAGATTAGAAAAATGGGGATAAAGCCAGCTTATTCTTTTTCTTATTTTAACAGGTGATTCAGTAATGGAAATTTTTAAGCTATGATTGCTTACAAAAATCTAATTTCTTTCAAGGAATTCCATAACTGTAGAAGTCTTATTAAAATACTTAAGGAATCAAGGCGTCTAAAGAACACACAATCAAGAAAATGAAATTACCCAAACCTCTTTAATGTGGCACCAGAGTTGGAACAGCATGCAGTTCCATGGATGATCAGTCTTAACCTCTTTGTGTTCATTCCATTATTATTTTTCTAGGGCTTCTCTTAGCACTCAGCCATTGATTAGCCATGGGTAATCCTTGTTTAATGTCTGCTCATTTAGTGACCATTCAAAGTTACAACAGCACTAAACAAGAGGTACTTAAAACAGGAACTCATAGTTGTGGCTGTTGCATTGTCCCTGCGGCCACATGCTCGCAATTAGGGCCTACGTTACATTACAGCTTTTTGCAATCATGTGATCACTACTTGCTACTTTCACTGCTGCCTTCTGACAAGAAAATAAATAGGGAAGTCAGCAGAGGTCGCAAATTGTGACCACATGACTATGGAAAGCTGCAGTTGCTCAGGATTCACCTAACAATGGCAACTGGGACTGCCAGATGTGATGGCACACTTTATGACTGTATTACTTAGGGACAGAGTTCTCGCTTTCAATTACAGACTGCCTGTAATATGGGGGATTGATCATAGAGAATGAGAACAAGCAAGAGAGGGCAGGTGTGATTCAAAGAGTATTGGTAAAGATCGCTTATAGATTATAAAAATACCAAACAGGTGGTCTGAGCTAGTAGTTGCTAAGAAAAAAAAAAACAAATAAAAGTTTTCTCAACCTTAGCAACTTTAAAAAATGTGAATTTCAATTCCCAGAATTCCCAGCCAGAATGAAATAAGACTTGTTCTATTTCAGATTGACTCTAGTCTTGTGGTACCAATAGGATGTAATCTTTCCAACTGAGTCTTTGTATAGGTTTTTTCTAGAAAAATTCTACAGAGTTGGTTTGTTGCCAGGAAGAGGGGAAAAGGCCTGATTACGTGTGGCGGGTCCTTGACCAAAGACGCTTTGTTATCTGCTATAGCCAGGTCCCAATCATTTTTTCAAAGCAAAGAAACAGGAAGGCCAACTGGCCAAACTCTGAGGAATATTTTAAAATACTAATGGAGAGGCTTCAATGCTTAAGAGTTGGGGCTTGCTATCCCTCATCCCATCCCCACCCACCAACTAGAGTTTGGACAGTCCTTGCATCTCTCATTATTTCCTATCCTGCAAATGTCTTTCACTTCCACACTTCTACATTTGTATTTTGATCTCTATGCACAACCCTGAACCCTCATTTATTTAACATTTTCTAACTGCTTAATAGACCTTACCTCATTATTTTGCTCTATGATAGAGAAGATCCTTTCAACACCGATGCTGAGTCCAACACAAGGTACCTTATATCCTTTTGAATCAAACTTTGCTACAAGCTCATCATAGCGTCCACCTCCAGCCACACTACCTAAGCTAAGAGCCTCGTTTAGATGGCTATGCTTTTGGCACAATAAAACAGCCTCACAGATGACTCCAGTGTAATAATCCAAACCACGAGCCAGACTCAGATGTAAGGAGACCTGTGAAACAGGACAAGAGGGCTATTAATAGGAAAATATTGGACAGATCATTTATATTTACTTAATACTACTGTCAAAACTTCAAATGCTCTGAATTCAGCCATGTTTCTTCACTTTTCGGTTGCCACAGCAATGGGAGAGGAGAGATGCATTCTTTTAGTTTAGTCAAAACAATAACTTTCTTTGGGAACCAAGGTCAAGCAGTCTAAATGTTTGGCGGGCTGGGGCTACCATTAGGAAGCCCGCCAAAGGTGTTAATTGGGGATTCTGATGTATGACACACTAAGGGGTGGAGAGTTCAACTTTTACTTTGTAACTTTTTTGGGGGAGATAACTTTCAGTCTTGGTTTCATTTTTGTTCGTGCTGATATCATGTAGCCATTAAAAGTGTTCTTTAAGGAAAGCAATTGCCTCAGAGTTCTAATTTCTACTGGTCTCATCTATCGGAACCATAACAACCACATTCCAATTCACCTGATCTGTGATGCCAAACAGACTAAGATATTCAAATAGCAATTTCATGTCCTCTAGTCCTTCCATAGCCAATCTGTTCTGTACCAGTTTTGGATCCTTGAGAAGCTTCTCAACGAGACATGGTCCCCCTGCAGAAAAACAGATGCATTTAAAGATGGAAGATATACTTACATTATTTTCTATCACCTTCGGTAAATCTTACAATTACAGTACTAACTCAACATTATTTCAACTTCAGTTGAACCTAATGTCTGGAACACAAAACATAAAGAAGAGAGCACTTTGCACAAAAAATGTGCAGGATCATAGTCAATCTTACTCCATCTAAAGATTAATTACTAACACATTATAGAATGCCTGTACTGAAACTCACCATGAAGTTGAACATATTCACTAATACGATCGACACACTTAGGAGAAATAACATCCTCTATGATCATTTCATTTTTTACTTCCTCCCATGTGACCTGTGGAGGAAATGGAGGAGTTAACTATGCATTATCTAGTTCAGTGGTTCTCAACCTTTTTAATGCCGCGACCCCCAACCGGTCGTAAGTCGAGGACTACTCAACTGGTGCAGCACCATTTGCGGAATGGGACTTTTGGCGGGCTCAGCAGGGCAGAGACGGCCTGGACAATTCCTATTGGCTTTTGAAAGCCAATAGAATTAGACTCTATTCAAGAGAATCTATTCTATTGGCTTTCAAAAGCCAATAGAATAAAAGGGAGTAGCACAGCTAAGGAAAAGGGGGAAAAAATGGCAGACTGCGTTGTTTGGCGACCCCCGTGAAATGGTCGTTCGACCCCAAATGGGGTCCCGACCCACAGGTTGAGAACCACTGATCTAGTTAAAGTAATTCATCCTTTGGCTAATGCATTTCTTTGCTCAAAAAGTAGATAACTTAAACTGACTTTTTTTCAATGTGGATGACATACAGACATAGGGAATAGCAATTTAACAGGATCCAAGTGAAATCATTATTCTTTTTATTTCATGCATATCCTACGGGTAACATTTTTAGAGCTGAGGGCCATACTGAGGCTTGCATGTGCCTGAATCCAAACAAATCCTATCCATCCAGGCATACAGCTTCATAGTCTAGCAGTGCTAATTCACAAAACCACATTTCAAGTACCTCAATGGCTGCATTCCATACCCTCCTTCCACATGCACTATAAATTCTCTCACACAAACATGCTATATGCAGACTTCCATCACATATTGTTATCATTCTATCCCTCATGTGCCCTCCCATTTCCATATACATATCCTATCTCTTCCATGTTCCCTCATGCATGCATATCCTGCTACCTTTCGAATATATGATCAAATATACAGATTATTATACTCTTCCCCTCTTCTACTTGTACCAATTCACTTTATTGCCTCTCCTACAAGCCCACCAAGATCACACTGAAGATACTTAACTTATCCAGTTTGTCAAGAGTTGAGCAAATCCTTTCAAATTTGATTTCTGGAATACCACATATTGTAACGATCCCTTGCAAAATGCGCCTGTCATTGATCTATGGGAAACAGCAGAAATAAAAAAGAGATTAAAAAAATAAATGTATACACTGCGGATTTTTTAATAGGTAAGAGTTCTTAACAGAAGTCCATTTAGACTAAGAAACAGCCAGTTTTTCTTACTTTGATAATGAAATCTCCAACTTGCAGGGCAGTTAAGATCTCATGCATGACTTTCAAACACTCTGCATCAGGAATCATAGGATCGTATTGGCCAGCAATGTCAAAATCCTGGAATACAGAAAGTAGCTATTAAAAATCTCCAAATAAATTAGGTAGACTAATTAAACGACTGAAGTACTCAACGATTAAATCCTATTTTCCTGAAGTGTGAAGCAACATATGTGTCCCATTTCACAAAGAACTCATTCACTTCCATATTTCAGACATGAAATTCTCTGCTCCTTTGGCAAGTTCAATTTAAAGGTCAAAGAAAAGATAGCTCCTCTGCCTTTCTGTTTTGCCTTCCCAAAGTGGAAAAATCTGCAGATACTCACACACTGGATAAACTCCCTGAAGCGTCCTCTCTTTATGGATGGGTTATCACGCCTGTAGACTTTTGCAATGTGGTAACGTTTACACCGTTTAATTTTGTTCATAGCTAAGTAACGAGCAAATGGCACCTAGAAACATAGTTAAGAAAACTTGCCTATAGCACAGAAAGTAAGCAAACAATGGGCAATCTTTTTCCACCTGAGAAATATTTTGCTTTTTAACCAAAAAAACTCACACCTAGTTTTCAAGTTAGAAATACATCCAGTGACATTACTAAGGCTACATTTCCAGTCTTTTTGAGTGACAAATTAAAATGTAAAATAGGTGTGTATTGTGATTCTATGAAGACTTCCAGAATAATGGTATCTGGAGACATGGTATAAAAGTATTGTATCATATTGGAAGGAGAAATCTAGACAAGACTTACTACAATGGATTGCTGAAACGTATTGTCAATATATGAATAAGGGAATGTATTTTTTTTTAAAAAGACTAACTCTTAATAAAGAATAAGTTCAAGTAATATATTAACATTGTTTTATAATAAAATGTTCTAGCCCCTCTTTTTCTTTTACACTATTAATTTTGAAATCATATTGTTTTGATAATGGTATTTAAATATCTTCATTATTCTTCTAGCATGTATTTTTAAAAACAATTTGTCATCATCCACTTTTGTTATACGTTAGTATTTTGTCAATTTGGGTGGTAAGATGCATTCCATGGGTCATATACAAAGATTTGGGAGCTTCTTCTATTGATGGCTATCATTTCTATTGTAGGACAGACACAGAGACTTCAAACTTACCCAAGCTACTTACATTTTTGTAAGCTGTGCGCACTCCCTCCTGTCAGGTGACTGCATTTTGGGTGCCTGGTAACCAGCTCAACTTTACAACCATTTGTAATGCCCTGAGGTCATGTGATCACAATTTGTAACATTTTTTGCCAGGCTCCAGTGTTTACTTCTGGTTTCTGGCAAAAAACAACCATTGGAAAAAAACTGATTCACTTAATGACCACATTCACTTAATGACTGCAGTGTTTATTTAATGACCGTTGCAAAAAGTGTCCAAAAAATCAGTCATGAGCCACTGACTGGCTCACTTGAGAACTAACTGTATGTTAGTATGTAGAAAGAGTTCTCTATATCTTTTCAACAGTTTCAAAGATTTTTACAGAAGATGACACCTTGCACTGGCTCATGATGTTTATATTACAGAGTTTCACCCTAACACATTAAATTGTGAATGAAAACATACTGGCTAACCTGTAAATAAGAGCTCTGATCTGATATGCTCACCTTAAACCAGGCATGTCAAACTCGCGATGTCACATGATGTCGTGCGATGTAGTGGGACTTTTTCCCCATTGCCGGCAATGGGGTGGGAGCGGTTTCGGTGTGACGCATCCAGCCCGCAGGCCCGCAGTTTGACATGCCTGTCTTAAACAAATCAACTAGAAAGAGGAAGCTTCTTCTGAATCCCTTGCAATTTTTGACCAATCTTCAATTACCGTTATGGGTCATGCAGCAATCTATTATTCCACAATTCTGCCCGAGACATTCTATCTTTTAAAAAGTGGTTTTTGCAAGTTAGAATTTTTGTTAGGATACAGTTAAGTCATATCGAAGAGACAGCATCTCTCCTCCTTGATCTTCCAGATCATAAATCAACTTTGTCTCTTCACCGTAGTTTTCTAGCAAGAGTTCCTTAAATGAAGGAAAAGAAAAAAAAGAAACACATATTTTGTCATTTGTAACTCTATGTTTCAATCTCATATATTATTTTATTAAAAGTTTTAAGAAGATAAAAGCTAACACAAACTAACTGAAAGAAAAAAAGAAATATCTTTATACATATAGACACATAGATATATAATTTACATATATAATTTTTTTAGCATCATGTCTCAATGATAAACCATTTTCTAAAAAATCCTCTTTGAGTTCATAACACAGTTTAAATTCCAACCCTTTTAACTTCATATTTCCCACTGATCCATCTGTATATTATAACCAACAGTTGAGAAACAGAATCAGAACTTTATCATACATCCTTTATCCTATTCTCCATTTCAAATTTCAAAAATGTGTACATTTTAGCAATTACATATTCATAATCATTTGTATTTCAAATTCTTACTTAATTTGGCTCCATTTTATGTCTTTTTTGTCCATTCTAAAACTTCCAGATTACTGGAAATGGGAAAACGATAGTCAGTGTTTGAGTCTTTCTGTCCATCCACCTCTGTGGGTTTGATCATAACCAGGTTCCTTACCATTTGTACCAATATATTTTGTCTGTCTCATTCTGTCTCTTTAGGACTGTCTCTGCCTCTCTGTCTGCACACATTGCTCTTTTCATAGGTGTATACTAACAATCCTGCTCTCCCCCTCCATTCTGTCATACTTTAAATTCCTTGATTCCCTCACAGAAGCACCTATTTTCCTGCTAAAACGTTCTTATAAGATTTGTTCTGAAATATACTGACACGTTACTTGCTATAATCTACTATGAATGTTTTGCCCAGTACTTTTGAAACCCTCACCTTTTCTTAGAGTACACCAAGGTACCTTTTCATTGCTAAGCTACTAGGATAGGTAAGAATCCTACTGCATTGGAAACCCATTGAACATATTATTTCTTTACCTAATGGTTAGGCCATATGACCAAGAACTATGAACTACAAGTAGTTCAAAAGGAAAGTAAGATACATCTTTCAATAATAGAAATGGAGATTATTGCAATCCTATAGTAGACTCAGAGTATCATAGGACAGATAATTCCTCAGTCAATCTAGAAGAAAAAAAAAATCAAAGGTTTTTGTCAACTCTTCATGAGGGGACAGAGCTTTCCTACCCAAGCTTGATAGTAACACTGTATTATCCTATTCAAGAGGAGTATTGAAAAACAGGAAAATAATTTATAGAAACAAACAAAAGGGGGAAAAGATATCCCATTCTAATTAGAATTTAGAAGACACAAAATAATTGACTATAATAAAATTGTTCTTATCAGAGTGGGAGTAAAAATTATTTAACCACTATAGAAGAATCTCACAGTAAATCCGATGTTCTATTTTCCAACAGTATTTATTTAAGAAAATGTATATGATTGCCCAACTCACTCTGAAGAGATTCTGGGTGGCTTACAAAAATAAAAACCCAGTATAAAAAACAATAACAAGGAATAATCCCCCACCCTCCAAGAGTAGGAGAGTAGGAGAAACAATAAATGGCAGGTAAAAAAGGAGATGCCGTGTGAAGTATTTTCTCACCATACTAACTATGAAGGAGTTTATCAGTGAAGCATCTGCCAGTAACTCCGACCAGGTAACAACCTTAAACATCCCCCCCCTCCCAAACGTAATAAAATTCTAAATAAGTCAGTAGAAATATGCATAACATCTATAATACCCATCACAGTAATTTGCAAAGCACACATAGACATACACGGATAGCTCATACAACATCTTGGCTCAGTGCTCAAAAGCCAGAAGGGTTGGAGCCATCTGGAACTTGGAGGTCAAGCTGTTCCACAGGACAGATGCAGTTAAGAGAAGACATGCTTCAGGGTCCGGCAAGATGGCAAGGACCATGCCAACCCGGTTTAATCTTTTTGAACCAGTACAGATAATTAAGTCAAGGGGTTTCCTCAAATACCCTTATCCTTTGCTATGAAGTATGCCTTAAATTGCATCCAGAAGCCAACCAGTAATCAGTGCAGCATGCAAACTATTGGTATTACATAGCATACTGAGGAAAATCCATACCTATACTGTTGAATTCTGGATAAGCTGTAGCTTGAGTGGTCTTTTAGGGACAGAACCATGTACAAAATATTTCACTCATCCAGATTAGAATCATTAACACATGAGCAACTGTGACCAGAGCCAATTCAGGAACTGGCAAAACAGATGGATCTCTACTGAGATAGATTTGCGCTAAGGTCCTCAAAACCATGGTTATCACCTGCTCCTTGAGCTGGAGGTTTAAATCCAGGAGAGGTTCAGGAGAAGCCCCATCCAGAAATAGTGATGGAAAATCTCTGGGATCAAAGCACAGTTACTTGGTCTTGCCCAAGTTAAGCCAGAGTCTATTCTTTCCCATCCAGATTACCGTATTTTGAGAAACAGAGTCAGAACTTTAATAGCATCAGTTGAGTGACCAGGAGCTGAAATACAGCTAAATATCAGCATATTGATAGTACTAGATCTCTGCTTCCCCCAACAGTGACTGGAAGCAGTCCTGAATAAAGGAAGAATACCACTATAACAAATGTACTTCCCATCTCCACAAGCTGATCTAGAAGGATACCACTGATGATAGTGAATGCTGCTGAGAAGTCAAGAAGGGCCAGGTGGGATGAGCTGCCCTTATCCCCGCCTACCATAGGTCATCAACAAGTGTAATCAGTGTCATCTCATTACTATACAAGGTCTGAAACCCAACTGGAATAAGACCAGATAATCCATTTTCAAGAAGATCATCTGAATATGCAGCCTGACCAAAAACAGGAAGTTGGAGATCAGATGAAAGTTGTCCAGCTATTGTTTCTTCAGAAGGATGGACTACTGCTTCCTTCAGGGCAGGCAGAACTACCTCCACACTCAAGAATGAATTTATCACCACTTTGGCCCAACCACCTTCCATCTCCTGGGAGGCCTTTATCAACCAGGAGACACTTTGCTGTAATACACTCACAGCTCTGAGGATTCTGCCTTAAAGATGTCCTTAAAGTTACAGATATAAACTCCCCCTCCCAAATTAACCTAAACTATGTCACAATCACCTCAACAGGACTTGCACAGCCAGAATCCAAATCACAGCAAATTCTAGGTAAAATCAGATTTTATCTGTCAGATGTCTAGAATAATCCTCACAGCAGTTTTTATAATGTTCCTGTAATCCTTTTGTCCCAGCTCAGGTCATCCCACCTAAGGCTGCTGGCCGACGCAATAAGAACAGAAAAATAATTACATTTTGTTGTTCTTATTGCCATAGTATAATCCTTACTATAAGCTCACTCCTAATTTTCCCACAGTGTTCCAGGCATCTCTTTTGTTGCTTCATTTTCCCTGTTTTTTGTGAAAAACAGGGACTACCTCAAGATTCAAAACAGGGAGGGCCACATGCATAATCCAATATAAAGCTAGTATCATCCTCTCATTCATAAGAGATGATTAAGGCTTCAGCCAAACTGTACCCCAAAGAAATTTCTTCAAGTTCCCTCTGAAACCCAGCAGAGTCTATCAGGAGTCTGTGGTGGATTATCAAACTGGAAGGGAGCTTGGAGGTCTTCTAGTCCAACCCCCTGCTCAGGCAGGAGACCCAATACCATTGGTTCTCAACCTTTTTAATGCCGCGACCCCCAACCGGTCGTAAGTCGAGGACTACTCAACTAGTGCAGCACCGTTTACAGAATGGGACTTTTGGTGGGCTCAGCAGGGCAGAGACAGCCTGGACAATTCCTACTGGCTTTTGAAAGCCAATAGAATTAGACTCTATTCAAGAGAGTCTATTCTATTGGCTTTCAAAAGCTAATAGAATAAAAGGGAGTAGCACAGCTAAGGGGAAAAAAATGGTGGACTGCGTTGTTTGGCAACCCCCGTGAAATGGTCGTTCGACCCTAAATGGGGTCCCGACCCGCAGGTTGAGAACCAATGCCCTATACCATTTCAGACAAATGGCTGTCCAGTCTCTTCTTAAAAACCTTCAGTGATGAAGCACCCACATTAAATAAGTAGGCTCAGACTCCCTGCAATGGACAGTACTAGAGAACTTCAGAGCGACGGACAAGTTGGTCATGACAAGGGACAGATATTGACATGATCCTAACCAACTCACATTGCCACTTTGCTGAGACAAAAGTCAGACCTAACATGTGACCTTTAGTGGGTGTTAGGCCCTCAATGATCTGGATCAGGCACCTGATGGGCATTAACTCCCAAGACAGAATCTCAGTTGTTGAGCAAAGCGGTCCTTAAACAAAATGCCCATGTGACTGCTTCGCTTAATGACTGCAACCTACACACTCCTGGTGGTAGTTGTTAAGTGATCTCCTGGGTTATTAAGCAAATGGAGCAAAAGAGGTAGACCTCTGGCTCGCAAATGTTTCTGTAGCCTGCTGGAGGATTTCAACTCCTCTTCTGTAGCCCTGATGCCAGGAGGGGAGGGGAAATCCTTCAGTAGGCTGCAGGAATGGCACTGAAATCCTGAAGATTTCTGCTCCTTTCCTGCATTCCCCCACAAAGGATTTTTAGCTCCCCTCTGAACGCAGCCTTTCTTGCAACCTTTCTAGGGAAATCAACAGAAATGATTGCAAATGGTAATCACATGATTGTGGGATGCTTGGCTTCCAGTTAGAAATGTGAGTCAGTTGCCAAATGTTTGAAATATCCAGGGAAGTGTTGTACAGGCCGTAAAGCATCCTTTCTGAGGCCACTGTAACTTTGAATCGTCGTTAAACAAGATTAAAAGCATTCTCTCTTCAAACAAAGTACCAAAGACCAGCAAGGAAGAATACGAAAAAAATACACCTTTTGGGAAGTACCAAATAAGTCAAATTTAAACAGTCTGCAGATAGTCCTCAACTTATAACCACAACTGAGCCCAAATTTTATGTTGCTAAGTAAGAAATTTGTTAAGTGAGTTTTGCCCAATTTTATGACTTTCCTCACATTTGTTAAATGAATCGCTGCAGTTCTTAATTAGTAACATGGTTGTTAAGGGAATCTGTTTTCCCCATTGACTTTGCTTGTCAGAAGGTCACAAAAGAGGATCACATGACTCCGCGACACTGCAACTGTCATAAATGTGAAAAATGGTCATATGTAAATGTAAATCACATGACCATGGGGATGCTGCAATGGTCATAAATGTGAAAAATGGTCATAAGTAACTTTTTGGGTGCTCTTGTAACTTTGAACGGTCACTAAATGAACTGTTGTGGACTACTTGTATAACATAGGTTGAGGATAAATAAGGTTGATACAAATAACCCAGCTATGAAAAAGGACAGAATATGCTTATAAAAAATACTTCCTGATGAAATAATTGTATAAAACAATTTTTACTTAGATAATTTATAATTCAAGATTTAAGCACTAAATTACTACATTCAAGATATACTACTATAATGTATCATATTACAATATATTTTCATATATGACAATTTCCGTTGTAGAAGAGATGCTATTGCACAGTGATCTGTTTGAAATACATGGCTATATTTACTATTTTTATTGCAAAGCACACAGTATTACTGTATCCTCATTGTAAGAATGTTTTATAAAATCATGAATTGATATTAAACATTTTATTATGACTTTATCATTAGGAATAAGATTTATTTGGCTTACATTCATCTTTTTTAGTTCTTTAACACCTAATGTTGTAAATTTGTAAAGGATAAATCCATTTTAGGGTATTCTGGAAATATCTCCTAGCATTATTCTAATCAAGCTGACAATTTCCATGTACTCCTAACATTATGATTGTGCTTGTAAAATACAGAGCTTAAAAAAATATTTTGGTGAAAATGAGGGATGCTGTAGAATTTCACATTATAGGCGGTTGATTTATGACTGGTTGTTTAGCTGACCATTTAAAATTCAGAAGAATATCTGGGGGGTATTTATGGCCCACATTCAAAGTTCCAACAATTGCCCCCCACACAGTGACTGCACTTCAGGTGCTTTGCAATCAGGTCACATTTATGGCAATTTTCAGTGTTTGGCGTTTACTACCAGTTTTTAGCAAAACTGGCCTCATATCAAATCACTGGTTTGCTTATTAACTGTTCTGTTTGATTAAGGACCACTGCAACAAAGGATCATAAAATTGGGTCGGTTATATGATTGGCCCACTTTACAACTGTCACAACTTATGACCATAATGGGCAGGCTCCATTACAGTCATAACTCAAGGCCTACCTGTATAAAAACGCTACAGAATAAATATATTTCCATTTAAGAAACTATCCTAATCCCCACTTCTAAACTTCATTATTTGAAACAAAGTAGCAGCATAATCAATGAATTCAATAATAAAAACAAAACAAAACCATCCTTCCTTTCTCCTAACCCATCACCATGTTCAATGACGCATACAGTTTAATTAATTAAGAAAGTTGGATTATTCCAAAGAAATAGGTTACAAAAACCTTATCGTGAACAGCAAAATTATTACTGACTTACTCTCACCTTTAGCTCAAACACAGGAGTGTCTATTGTCACGGCTCCATGACGCTTGAAACAACTAATTATGGTGCTAAAGATTTTTTCACGGATAGCCATTTGCTTTGGGCTAAAGTCCCTGGTGCCCTAGGAGTTCAAGACAAGACAAAGAGGTTAGAACATGAACTTGTTTGGAAGAGGATAAAACTGAAAAAGCAGAATGTGTGTGTGCGCGCGTGTATGTATATGCGTATATATGTGTGTGTGTGTGTGTGTGTGTGTGTGTGTGTGTGTGTATAATATAACATAACATAATATAATATAATATATTATAACATATATGACATACAATACATAAACAAAACTTATCTGGAAAGACGCAAGTTCACTTAAAATGCATTTTTTTCCACTGAACAGATTATCAGTGGTAAACTACTTGGAAGAAACCCTGGAGAGGAAAATAATACAGTAGATCCAGAAAAGTCACACCATGGGGTATTACCTTGGGAACTTTGAGAATCAAGTTTCCTTTTGAGGCACCAGCATTCTGCTGATGTGATAGCTGTTTTTCTGCATCTTCAGTAACCTGGGAAAAAGCAGAGTACAGGTAATCCCCAAATTACGACAATTCACTTAGCGACCATTCCAAGTTACAACCTAACTCCCCCCAAGCAATTATAATATAGTCCCAAAATTATGAATGTTGCAGCACCACGGCAGTTGTTCACAGTTATGAACTATTGCAGAGGCTCTGCAACATTCGCCCTGCCTATTCCCCCCCCCCCCGGGTTTATACAGGCACTAACCCTGTGGATACTCACCTTGCGAAGATCCAGGGAGCTTTCCATTTCTTGGCTTGTTCGATGCTTCAGGCCTTTGGTGCATTTGCAGAAAATGGAGGCCTAAAGTACCAAAAGATCATGCAAGATCAGTGGTGCAAGATTTCGCGCTACTGATCTCAACTGATCTCACAGAACTTTAGTCTTCTGTTCTCTGCAACTGGAGGCCTCGACGAGATCTGTGGCAGAAGGCTTTGCAAATGGAAGGAAGGCCTAAAACATTGAAGCCTTCCCTCTGTTTGCAAAGTCTTTTGCCACCTTTGCAAAAAGCCTTTGCTGCCGAGAATGGAGGCCAGGAGGGATTTTCCTTAATTTTCCAAGTTAGGAAAATTAAGCCCCAGGCTAGGAGCGACCCATACCTCTGAAAAGCAAGCAGAGGTCCATAAACTGTGATTGTGAAGGAAAAGCCAGTACAGGAGCGACCCACACTCTGCGGGGAGCAGAAGAGTCCTCACAGACCCTTTTTCGGTCTGAAACTGTGATAGAGAATCCCTGAAGGAGCAACCCATACTCTGTTAGGGATATCAGTCCTCCACGGGTCCGTTTTTCACCGGAAAACTGTGGTGGTAGGCGGAAGTCTCACAAGGAGGCTTCAAGTGCACCGGACCCAGCTAAGCCAAAGTGAACCCCTACATCGGAAATAGGGGAATCATGGGATGTTCTAGTTCGAAGGTCAAGATAGACTCCCCCATAAAAGACTTGCTTGAGGTCTGGGACGGGAATCGACTACCCGTTCAGGCAGGTATGAAAAAGAGACAGAGAAATTGTGCAAAAAAAGGGGGGGGGCTTTGCTCAGGGCTTTGGGAAACTAATTTGGCTAAATAAAGGTACTTAAAAGGAAATTAAAATATAGGAATAGTGATTTTTTCTCTCTCTCTTTCTATGCAACTACATGATATGTTTAAGATTTGTGCCTTCCCTAATTTAACTGAGATTTATAGTGGGAATGACCAGGATGTGTAAAACTAAGACTTGTTTCCCTTTTCTGTTCGTTTCCTTGTCTTTGTGTGTATATGTGTGTCAAAATCTTTGTGTGTGAGGTAAATGTGACTGTTAATTGTCTCTAATCTAAAGAGAAAAGAATTTTAAAATTCTACTAGAAATTCTGCTTAAAATAAGCCACCAAAAGAAAATACCTTCAGCCTGTTTGTCTGGCCAGAAAACAGGCTGAAGATAATTGAATTCCCTTTTGCCTTTTGTTAGGATAGAATGTTTTAAGTTCATTTAGAATGAAAAGTTTGTTTGTTTGTTTTATTTGTGCATTTTCTGTATGTGTTGTAAATGGTTTTATCTGTCGTCCCTTTTCCTGAAACATAAGGTGTGTCTAGCTACAAGAGTCTCCTGAAACTCAAGTTTGCCTGTGTAGGGAAATAATCTTTTCTTACTAAGTTACTTTTCTTACCCTATCACTAATCAGTGAAGCTACTATGAAACTAATCCTGGAACACATAAGCATTTTTTAATCTCTAAAATAATGTGGTCTATTTTAGAATAAATGTTAAAGGTAGATTCTCCTGCCCTGGCAAATTGCATACCTTAAAATATTAGGCTTTCAAAATTATTTGGAGTTTTCAGCATTCTCAAGCTGCCCAGCATTTTCAAGCTGCAAGTCCTTAAGTCCTCTCTAACATGTTGCAAATGTTCAATTCCACAAGTGAGATCTTTTGTTTACGTTCTCTTACCAAAATCCAGCCTTTCTTTTGTTCTCATCTCTCTGCCTCCAAGCTACCTCCACCCCCCAATTCTACTTCTCCTTTTCTTATCTTCTGTTCTCCATGCCTTTGTCTGTCTCTCCTGGGAGAGCCCACCCAGAAAGGGGGGAGGGAACCTTTTTCTCATGTCTTTCAGCCTTGTATAGACAACCCCCAAACCTTTGGAAACAGAGCACACTGCCCCAGATGCTGCCCCCACCCATTTGAGCCAGAGAATAGGGTTTGAATCCAGCCATCCACTAGAAAGCCACCATGCAACCAGAGTGGAACAGATCTTCCCAAGTCCAACCATTCCCCCAGATGCCTGTGAAAGCTGCAAAGGAAGGAATCCTGGAGCCATTGGTCCCCACGTGAAGCCTCAGAAGAAAATTAGGAAGACTATGGGGGAGGGCAGAAACTCACTGTAAGGGTTCCTTTCTTGCCTCATTTGAAATGTAACCAGCCAGTTAAATGGATTTCTGGAGGGATGGCATTTGGGAATAGTTGGCACAGCAAGTTTTTAACACCTTGGACTTCTCTACTGGTGGGAGGGAAAATTTGTCCAGGATCCTTGTACTGCCTGTTTTGTTGAAGTAGCTGCATGCACACGCACACCCACACATGATTCAGAATCACACCTACTTTCAATAAAGCTCTGTAGCACTGCAAATTCCAAGGGGGAAAGAATCAGGCCCCCTCAGGCGATTTGCAGTTCATATGCTCTCACTTAGAAGGGAGCAGAAAAGAGATCTCCAAAACCCAAGCCCTGAATATCTTGCACTGGTGGACTCAGAGTGGGAATCCTAAGGCTGACTGTGTGCAATTTAAGAAAAAATAATATATTGGTTTGCACACTGGCTAACCTCAATTGAATATTACAAACCTGGATGCACTGAACTAAGGCAGGAAACAACCCTTGAAAATGGGCAGCCTGTGGTTATGTATTGAGGCAAAACATGGCTGTGAGGGGTTTTGGGGAATGTGCAAACCTGACTGGAAGCTCAAAGTGACATCCAACATTTGAAAATAATTGGCACAGAATATTGGAAACTATAAATTTCTTTTCCACCTAAAAGAACTTTTGCCCTGGCTTTAGACCTTCATGGTTAAAAGGCCCCCCTTTTGGGAGCCACTGCAGGGATCTTTTTATTTATTTATTTATTTCTAAAAATTTTCTGCTGCCTCTATTAGTGTCTTCCTTTTTTTTGCATTAACAGTTTAAAAGCTTGTTTATCAAATCTCCCTGACTGAAACAATTTTAATTTTGTGCCAGTAAAAGTATGCTATCCATACTCTTATGGCACAAAGGGGGAAGATTTGTGGGAAGTCAGCCCACCCAGAGAAGGAAATATTAAAAGTGCTTAACACAGTGCTATGTATTAATAATGTTAGAAACTTGACATACGATATTGTACTTAACTTAAATATTGTTAACAAGCCCTCCTAAACATGTTGAAGTAACATTTTAATATTAATTCAGATAACTGCCCACCTAACCCAGGCTTATGTGATTAAAGAATTCCACAAACAATCTAGCAACGTGTTTTTCCCCAATCTAGCTATCTGGTATCTTTTAAATTGAAAGGAATAAATAAAATATTGTTCATACGTTAGCATCTACAGATTAAGAAAGGGCTGTGTATAATAATGAAGGATAAATAAAAATATTATATAAATATTTTTCCGTTCCAATATTTGCAATTGAGATAGTTCCCAGTCAATAAACAGAGCCACAGATCAAAATAATCTTAGAATTCTAAATACATAAGCAGACTATATTGAGGAGAATTAAATACTACTAAATGAGGCATACCTGATTTGAAAGATGACTGGAAAATAAACGTAGGATGCGAAACTGTACAGCCAAGTGCTGGGTTTGAAAGGAAGCCGTTCTTAAAACAGTGATCCAGTGCATGTTGGAAAGTTTAGATAATTACATCAGCTACTGTAGTGTAATACTACTAGTACATCAGATACATAAAGAATTGCCTTCATTTTAGCCAGAGGTGGGCAAAATTATGATCTATAAATAATAAGATATGCAAAGAAAATGGAGAAAAATATAGATAAATCCTTTAATGAAGAAATCATATTGGCCTAATGTTTAGTACCACAGCAAACAAAGAGGCAACGTAATTACAGAGCAAAATAACAACACTTGCATTCATTGATCACACTCATAACTTCTCTACTCTTCCACTATAGAGCTTAACAGGTATACCGAATAGGGATTCATTCCATTTGGATCTCCCAAATCTATTAGAAAGATTAGGTCAGGATATGATTGGCATAAGCATCATGACACAGTAAACTTTATGGCACAGTACAGTTTAGGTCTGGTATAACTGTATCACTCCTACAGCCAATACTAAGGGATGACTAACCTAAAGTCCCTAGCTTCTTTCTTGCACAGCCCACACACCTCTCTATTGGTAGAAATGAAGGGCGGGATTTTCCGCCATTTTGAAGCAGGAAACACACTTCAGAAACAGGAAGAAAAAGATCCATTGAAACTATCCCCCAGCAAGAAAGATCCCATCCCTGCCCATGGGCGCGCTAAATCCCACGAACTTCGCATCACTTCCTTGTTGCAAGCAGCGCCAATACAAAAGGATTGCTCACTCCTGCACCAGCCGACTTTCACAAACATTGTGTAATGTTAATTAGATTAAGGAATCGAGCGGGACAAGAATGGTTATTAACGCCCAAATGCAATTTGAAAAGTTAAATCGCCGTTTCACAAAACGAGGAAGGGCTGTGCAGATAAAAGTTCTAAATAAGCAAGAATTTCCTTATCGTTCTCTAAAATTCCCATAAAATACACGAATTGTTCAAAGGAAATTTTCTAAATCAAAGTCCCTCTCTCGAAGAAAAAAGCTTAGGTCAGAGAATGGCAGAATTTCATAAAACATATTCCTCACTGGAAGTAAATCGTTTTCACTTTTTGGGTCACAGATTTAAAATGAAAAACCAGTTTTGTTCAACCTTGGAAAAGTTTAAGATAGGTGGACTTCAACTCCCAGAATACCTCAAGCCAGTCTGCTGCCTGGGGAATTCTGGGAGTTGAAGTCTTTCTAGCTTTAAATCATCAAAGTTGAAAAACACTGCAGTAAATTACCATTTCACCCACCCTGCTTCGGTCTTCTGACATACTTTTTTGTTTATTTTAACCCCTCGATTTGTTCTACGGCTAAAGAAGTGACACGTGCCACGAACACGTGGACAAACACACCCTTTGTTTAAAGATTTGCAACTAGAGTTTGCAACTACGCCTAAAGCATAAAGTAAAAGCAAACCGCGTAGCGCGCGTTCCTTCAGCCTCCAGGTTCAGACTTGGGAGCATCCGACCAGCAGAAAGGTACCTACGGTGAGGAGGAAGGGCTCCTGGCCGCTTTGAAGAAAGGGCCGAGGCCCACATAACCCTCCTCTCCACTTTCCGGGTGCCTCTACGGCCAGGAAGACCTTCCGACGCCGCGGAGCCTGCCCTTCCCGAGCTCTGGGAGGGCGCGCGTCGTTTTCCGGCTTTCCGGACTCTTCGGAGGCAAGATGGCGTCGAGCAGCGGGGTAGGTCATAGATTTGTGTTTTGTTCCCACAACGAAAGAAAAATACGGTTTCTATTCTAGCTCATTTGCTGAGAATCATAATGCAGAGTCGGTAAGGACCTCCGCATAATTTCATCGGCGGAGATCTGGAGCGCCTCATGTTTTTCAAGGCCGTAAGAAAAGGTCCGACTTCAACTCTTGATAGGTTCTCTCTGCAATGCATGTGTGTAGCCGGGACCCCCGAGGAGCCTCTATGGGCTTGGCCATAGTCACACCAGCATTTTGGGTGATACAGTGGCCTCACAAACGGAAATCGGGAAGCTCCCAGGATAAAACGATAAGGCGATAGGTGCCCTCGTTAAAGAAGGAGACTAAAAGGTTTGTTCCTGTGGTTATGCAGACTTCATGGTTGCATACTAACTCTTGGATCCTAACTCCATCTTCCACAGAATCTAAAGGTGGTGAATTCTTTAATTTTAAATGATTTGTGCAAATAACTTAATTTCATTGTTAAGAATCTCCTTTTATTGGATATCACTTTAACTATATGAGTGGGAGAAAAGTAGGGTCCACAGGTTTATGTAAGATCATTGGTGATTTTATTTTCAGTTACTTTCCTGTTGATTTCAAGTATGACAATAGCCACATAGTGGGTTCACTATTAACAACCATTTTCACACGACCATTGCAGCATCCCCAGGGTCACATGATCAAAATTTGGATGCTTGGCAACTGTCTCTTATTTATGATGGTTGCAATGTCCTGGGGTCATGTGATCACCTTTTGCAACCTTCTGACAAGCAAAGTCAATGGGGAAATCACATTCACTTAACAACCATGTTACTAACTTAACTACAGTCATTCACTTAACAACTGTGGCAATAAAGGTTGTAAACTGGGGCAAAGCTCAACAAATATTTCACTTAGCAATACAATTATGGTCATAAATTGAGGACTACTTTTAAAGTTGGCATATTGTATTAAGTAAGAAACGATGGTTTATAGATCATAGGAGCTGGATTTATACAGTATGAAGCCACAGAAATACAGAATAGAATAGAATAATCTTTTCTTAAAAACTTCCAGTATTGGAGCATTCACAATTTCTGGAGGCCAGTTCCACTGGTTAATTGTTTTAACTGTCAGGAAATTTCTTTTTATTTCTAGGTTGCTTCTCTCCTTGATTAGTTTCCATCCATTGTTTCTTGTCCTGCCCTCTGGTGCTTTGGAGAATAACTTGACTCCCTCTTCTTTGTGGCAATCCCTGAGATATCCCTATCATGTCATCTGTAGTCCTTCTTTTCATTAAACTAGACCAGTGGTTCTCAACCTTTTTAATGCCGTGACCCCCAACCGGTCGTAAGTCGAGGAACTACTCAACCGGTCGTAAGTCGAGGACTACTCAACTTGGTGCAGCACCGTTTGCAGAATGGGACTTTTGGTGGGCTCAGCAGGGCAGAGACAGCCTGGACAATTCCTATTGGCTTTTGAAAGCCAATAGAATTAGACTCTATTCAAGAGAGTCTATTCTATTGGCTTTCAAAAGCCAATAGAATAAAAGGGAGTAGCACAGCTAAGGAAAAGGGGGAAAAAATGGCGGACTGCGTTGTTTGGCGACCCCCGTGAAATGGTCGTTCGACCCCAAATGGGGTCCCGACCCACAGGTTGAGAACCACTGAACTAGACATATCCAATTCCAGCAATTGTTCTTATATCTTTTAGCCTCTCCCTGATCATCTTTGTTGCTGTTCTCTGCACTTTTTCTAGAGTCAACATTTTTTTTACATCATGGTGACCAAAACTGGATGCAGTATTCCAAATGTGTTACCAATGCATTATAAAGTGGTATTAACACTTCACGTGATCTTGATTCTATCCCTCTGTTAATGCAGCCTAAAACTGTTGGTTTTTTTGGCCGCTGCAGCTCACTGCTGGCTCATATTTAAGTGATTGTCCACTAGAATTCCAAGATCCCTCTCACAGTTCCTACTATTGAGCAAAATACCCCCTATATTATACCTGTGCATTTGTTTTTGTTTTTTGTCTAAATGTAGAACCTTACTTTTTTCACCATTGAATTTCATTTTGTTAGATAAAGCCCAATGTGCAAGTCTGTCAAGATCCTTCTGTATCTTAAGCCTGTCTTCTGGAGTGTTGGCCATTCCTGCCAGCTTGATGTCATCTGCAAATTTGATGAGTTCCCCATCTATCCCTTCATCCAAATCATTGATGAAGATGTTGAAGAGCAGTTCCATTGAGTACTACATATTGAGTGCGGTTGGTCCATCTGGGGGTGATGCTGTCTAACCCACATTTTTCTATCTTATCAGATAGTAGGTTGTGGTCTGCTTTATCAAATGCCTTACTGAAGTCCAAGTAAATTATATTTACAGCATTCCTCTGGTCCACTAATTTTGTCACCTGGTTAAAGAATGCAATAAGATTTGTCTGGCATGATCTGTTTTTGACAAACCCATGTTGGCTTTGGGTTATGATTTTGTTTGCCTCTAGATGTTCATTGATTTGTTGCTTGATTAACTTTTCCAGAATCTTCCCAGGTATTGAGGCTGATAGGTCTGTAATTTCCTGGATCCATTTTTTTTCCTTTTTTGAAGATGGGAACTCCATCAGCTCTTTTCCAGTCCTCTGGTAGTTCCCCAGTGCTCCAGGATCTTTGAAAACATATAGTTCAGTGGTTCTGAGATCATGTCTGCCAGTTCCTTCAGAATCTTGGGGTGTAATCCATCTGGTCCTGGTGATTTGAACAGGTGCTGACTTACGATTTTCTTGCCTATTTTAACTTGTGTTTCTAATCTGTTTTTTATGGTACTGTTTTTGATAGGTTGGATTGTTTTTTTCCTTTGTGTAAAGATGGATGCAAAAAATGAGTTAAGTAGTTTTGCTTTCTCCCTGTTGCCTGTCACCTTCTTGCCACTTTATTCCACTAATCAGCCAATTGTTTCCTTGACTTTTTTCTTGTTTTTAGCATTGTTGAAAGAAGCTTTTTTTATTTTTGTCACAAGACTTAGTTCATTTTGAGCTTTAGCTTTCCTCACTTTTGTCATGGTTCCGATTGACAGAGACAAATAAAGCAGAACTCTGAGGCTTGGAGATTCCTCAAAGAACATGTTTATTGATACAGAGTATCAGTACTTTAAAAATAAAACCAAGTCTGAAGAGATGCATAACAATTCCCAATACAAAGTTAAAAATTCCCACCCCCAAAACTGCAAGCAATTACATTTCCCCACTCAGCTTGTTGGTGGGCTTTTCATGAAATACCCAGCCTGCAGTCTTGGGAGCAGCCGATGACCTTGGTTCCCATGAAAGAAAGTGTGACAGAGACAGTCTGTTTTGTCTAGCGCAACACCTGGCAAACCCCCTCCCTCTGTGGCAACTAGGAGTGAGAAGGAAAAAGATGTCTGTAACCATGCTTATTCTAAAGTTGACAGTCAGCTATCCGCCTTCACATTCGCACATTTCACCCATGTAGCCTCTGAAAAGGGGTAACCTTTCCACTGGACAAGGTATTGTAGCTTTCCCTTGTGCAATCTACAGTCCAGAATATGTTTAATCTCATAATGTGTCTTTCTCTCCAACACCACTGGGCCAGGTGGCTTTTTGGGAATGGGTCTTAAAGTGGATTCTGACACTGGTTTTAAAAGACTGCAATGAAACAAGGATGGATTTTCCCCAACAATCACGGAAGCTTTAACTCCACCGTAACAGGGTTTATGATCCTGACAATGGGAAAAGGACCAAGGAACTTCAGACCCAATTTCTTGCTAGGCAATTTTAACCGTAGATATTTCGTTGAAAGATAAACTAATTGCCCAACATAAAAAGGTTTTGTAGGGGAACATCATTTGTCTCCTTGCTCCTTGTAAACCTTTGTGGCTTTAGCCAATGCTTTCTTCACATTCACTCAAACACCCTGGAAAGATGTCACCCATTGATCCAAGGTTTGGGAAGTAGGTGGTTCCTGTGGGAACTCAGGCATGGGCACAAAATCTCTACCCATTGCTATTTTGAATGGGGTGATACCAGTACTATTGCACAGTAGTATTGTAGGCAACGTCTGCAAAAGGTAAAAGGTCAGCCCAATTCAACTGCTGGTAATTCACATAACACCTGAGATGCTGTTCCATTATTGCGTTAGCTTTTTCAGCGACACCATTAGTATTCAGATGAAAAGCAGATGAAAGCCCCTGGAAGGACCCAGTCAGTTTAACAAATTCCCTCCAAAGTTTTGCAGTAAACTACACTCCCTCCCGTCAGAGATAATCCACTTTGGGGCACCATGGAGCCGGTATGTGTGCTGCAAAAACAGTTTGGTTAGTTTCTGGGCAGAAGGAAGCCCTGAGCAAGTGATGAAATGTGCCTGTTTGGAAAATAAATCAATCACAGTCCGTATCACAATGTTTCCCTTTCTCTCAGATAACTCTACTATAAAATCTATGGCTATCTCCTCCCAAGGCTGAGAGGGGTTGGCCACTTGCTGCAATAAACCTGACGGTTTTCCAGGACGTTTCTTCATGGTAGTACAAGTGGCATAACTTTTTACATAACTCTCAATGTCTTTTTTCATTTTCGGCCACCAGAATTGCCTCCGCACTAGATGCAATGTTTTTAAAAATACAAAGTGACCCACTTGCTTAGCGTCATGACTCTGTTGCAATACCTCGAGTCTGAGGCTTTCTGGGAGGTATAACGTAGAACCTTTCCAAGCTAATCCCCCTCTTAAAGTCAATATAGACCTGTTATCTTTGAACCAGTCATTAGTCTCTAACTTCTCCTTTAGTTCCTTTAATGATCGATTGTCAGGACCTGCAGGGGGTCTCTGTGTGTGTGTGATCTGGTTGTTATTTGGGATGCAGCAGACTGCAGCAAAGGAATAACGGAGTTAATCACTTTCTCTCTGTTGCTTTTGAACTGGAGCATTCTGGACAAGGCATCCGCCAGAAAGTTCTTGCCCCCAGGAATATATTTTAAGGTGAAATTAAAACGGTTGAAATATTGAGCGCATCGAACTTGCCTGGGGGATAATTTACGAGGGGTTTTGAGAGCTTCCTAGTTTTTGTGATCAGTCTGCACCTCAAAAGGTAATTCCCCCCCTTCCAAGAAATGACGCCATGTCAGCAATGCCAACAAACTGCAAAAGCCTCTTTCTCCCAAACTTTCCCACCTCCTCTCTGTCTCAGTTAATCTCCGGGAAGTGTAAGCACAAGGTTGTAATTCTCCCCTGTGATTTTTTTTGTAACAGAACAGCACCCTCGGCCACGTCACTTGCATCAGCTTGAATAATGAATTGCTGCCCAGGGTCAGGGTGTTTTAGGATCGTTTCAGCTGCAAAGAGTCTCTAGGTTTTCGAATACCACTTGGCATTCTAATGACCATTGCAATGGCTGACAGGGTCGGGGGTTCCCCCCCTTGCCTGTTTTGAGTAAGTCAATGATTGGCATGGCTATCCTTGCAAAAGAAGGAATAAATTGACAATAAAAGTTGGCAAACCCTAGAAAGCTTTGAAGCTCCCATTCCAAAACTGCTTTGACTTTGGCAGGATCCATTTCTACTCCCTCATTTGAAATTTGATATCCCAAGTAGTTGATGGGTACCTGGTCAAATTCGCATTTTGACAGTTTTGCATACAGTTCGGCTTTCAACAGTTTTTCAGTACATCATAGACTAATTTTAGTGTAGATAAGGATGTCATCAAGATAAACTAAAACCCCTTTGTATAAATGATCATGGACCACTTGATTTATCAATTGCATAAATACAGCAGGAGCCCCTTGCAATCCAAAAGGCATTACTTTAAATTGGAAACTCCCCAAAAAATCATTACTTTTGACCACACTAGTGATGAAAACTTTGAAAGCAGGCTGATCATACTGATCATGGATTTATTTTTCCTCTTAGCCAATATAGAGAATTGGATAAAATGCAAGTTATATTGTTCCTGAATCTGGGTGCACAATAGATGTTAATGTAGAAGTGAGATGGAATTGTGAATGTGCCGCTTGAGTGTTTGGTGACAGGGAAGTAGTGAATATAAAAAATGTCCTCTGGCTAAGAAGTGCAGTTCATAGGGCTTCAAATTAAAACATTCCAAGAGATGGCTATCCAGTTTCTGGTTGAGTACATCCAGCGAAGGAGAATTCACTCTTAGTTAGTGCTGTAATCAAACAGTTTTTATTTGGAAGTTTTTAATAATGAGTAAATGTCTATGGAGATTCTCAGTCATCTAGGTCATGGTTGAAAAAGCACTTTTGGGTTAATAATGACTAGAATCGTTCTTCCTGCAACTTAAAGGCATTGTTCTCTATCCTTCATTATGGGATACAGATAGCCCTCGTTTAAGCACAATTGGGACCAGCAACTCCCTTGCTAAGCAACACTACCATTAAGCAAGACATGTGACTGATGGATTTACAATCTCATTTCTGCTCCAGTTGTTAAGCAAGACATCAGAACTTGCAGTTTTACTGCCAGCTTTTTCATTGACTCTGCTTGTCAGAAATCAACTGTGAAGTACACAAATGATAATTACATGACCGTAGGACACTGCAACAGTTGTAAATGCCTGTTGTTTGCAAAATAATTGAATCTGGTTCATGTGACCACAGGAATAGTGTGATGGTCTTACCATAAAAGTTACTTTTCAGTAACTTAAGAATGGTCACTAAACAGCAGTTTAGCAAGATCTACCTGTATAGACAGCAAGTTGTGATACTTCTTCATGTGCTTAAGTGCTCTTCTATTACCCCTCTTTTTTTGTAAAGGCAAACACATATTCAATTTCCTCAGTTTTACTCCTAAAACTTAGTTTTGAATTCGTGCAATAAGCTCACCAAGAGGATAGATAGTTATCTGTCAGGGATAGTGTAATTTGATTTCCTGCACCAGTCCTTCCTCAGATTGCCCACTCTATGCATCTAATAAAGTGAGCTGCAACTTACAAATACTTAGTTTTTTAATTAAAAATTTTTTTAGTTGGAAGAGGTGATACCATACTCCTGTTTTTTCCCCCAACATTGACTGACATAGTTCTCCTCCTACAAATCACCAAGCAGATGTTTATTTATTAAATAAGTTCATACGGCCAACCAATTGACAGTGACACCAGGTGGCATACAGCAATAAGAAGCTGCAATAACAATAAGACTTATATACCGCTTCAAACCGCTTTACAGCCCTCTCTAAGCAGTTAACAGAGTCAGCATATTGCCCCTCCCCCCAACAATCTGGATCCTCATTTTACTGACCTTGGAAGGATG